TAACGTTCTGTGGTTCTGTGTGGTTCTGTGGCATGCCAGATGTAGAAAGCGTTTGTAGACAACTCAGGTACTCCTGCAACCAGTGTAGTTATTTGTAACACAACAGCCAAGCTAATAACAACCTGATGTAAAAGTTCATTTCTTTCATCAGGCCAATTTCCTTATCTCAGTAAAAAGACGTATGAATAACCCAATGTTACTCACTCAACTAATATTATTCTGAACTAATATCTTCATTCATATTTATGCCATTTTTCACCAAGAAACTCCTAATATCTACATTACAGTGATAAATTTACAGAAAATTGACTGAGGGAGGATTTGTCTTTAACTATAAAAAAGCTGAAAGAGACTAATACAAGATAAAAAGGAACAGAGACCCACGTAAGGCATTTGAAACAACTACTGCCAAAGAAATTTCAACAAAGAAATTCTAGAATCCTAAATTCTAATGAGCAGTAAATAAAGTAGTGCTAAATGACATAGTTGCTATTAATTACTTCATCTGCTTTTGCTGATTACTTTTTTCTTCTTGTGGACTTGGAAAGTCTCCAAAGAAATAATAAAATACTTAAAGCTAAATGCATTACTATGGTAGACAAAAAGTACCCTTGTACTTAAAGCGGTGGGGGGGGAGTGTGTGTGTGTGTCTGCTGCTTTCGATATGGCGGCTAGATTCTGAATTTAAGATGCTCCAGAACAGTAATCAGCATTTACCAGCCACAGAAGAATATGCCTGCATAAATGATAAGATCTTTTTTTTTTTTAAGCAGCACAAGAATTCAAAATCCATCTGTAAGTTGAACTTTGGAAGAAAAAAAAAAGGTATAAAATTCTAGATCCACTTTTAGCACCAAGATGACACACTGGGGAAAAAACCACCTTAAACTAAAGGAAAAGAATGAAATGCAAAGAAATACTGTGGAAATGAAAGCAGTGCTATAAAAGTAAACACTAAATGGCAACACAGGCCAGTTCTTCAAGCTTTTATGGAAATTAACACAGTCACGCCTCAGGGAACTCGTCAACTTTGTCTTCCCCCAGTTTATGGGACCTGTTACATTTTCCCAGTATCTTAAGAAGTGCAAAGCAGTGACTTCCAGCAGAGTCCCTCTCCTCTGTTACTACCCAAACTGAGTAGAGCAGTGTCCTCAATAACAGTGCTGTTACAAAGTGATTTCTCCATTTAGGCCTGCTCAAGTAGAAAGACTTTTAGGAGGTATTTGATTTGTACTTGGCTTTGCCACAAGAAGCACGCCTAGAAGTTCCCAACAGGCTATAACCAAAACAGAGCACATGTGCTGCCTCAGACCAGTTTGTTCGATGAGACAAATATTTGACTATTTCAAATAAGCAGGTTTATCCAGTCAGACTTCACCGAGACTAGAACAGTTGTACTTAGTGCTGCCCTCCCTACCTGTTAGCTCTAGCACTAACATAACATTTACTACTGGAAATTCCTTTCTTCTCATAAAGCTTGTGTTAAGAAAAATAATCTTTGTAAGAAAAGATTATTGTTTGTATTGGTAAAAATCTGAGTCTATACTAGAACATACACTCATACAGCTGATTAAAAAAAACCCAGCCAACCTCACTCAAGCACTCCTTTCCTGTTGGAGCCAAGCTATTATAAATTTAAAGCTCTTTTATGCTGCAGTATTTTATAGTCACAAATTCCACTATGAGTTCCACAATAAAGCAAGTTTTAATTCACAGGAGTTCTTCAGGTCAGTTTCATTAGGAACAATTTCCTTACTAAGAAAGTAAGGAAATTATGACAAACTCCATCAGAAGTCCATCTCCTTTGTCTCTAAACTGACACAAAATATAGCACATCAGTCCTGCTTCTGAAGTTCTTGGATCTTGACTCAGAGATACAATATACATGCTTGTAATTTTTTTATTATTTCAAGTCAAACCTAGAGACTACAAACTTGAATACAGAAAGGATTTTTATCATTTAAAATATGCGCAGCAACCTAAAAGCAGTACTATAAAAACACCTTAATGAAATCTGATTTATATATACACCTCTAACAGACAGAAAACATTTAATTTAGGATATAAACACTCAGATATACTTAAAAACACAAACTAATGGACAGATTATCTGGAAATATCTCACTAAGAAAGGTCTCAATAGTTTAGGCTGTACAACTGTCAGTAGCATCAATTTTTTGGGCTGTATTACTAGAAACTTCTGTGCTCTTACCAGTGGTGGCCCTCCCAAGAATATGGTTCCCTGTTTGCCAACAATAATGCTTTCATCAGCCATTGCAGGTACGTATGCTCCTCCTGCTGTACAGGATCCCATTACTACTGCTATCTGTTGGGAAAACAAAAATCGCAAGTTAATGAACTGTACAACTCTGAAAAACAGCAAATGCACACACTAGTATTGCATATTGTACTGATTTTAATACAGGTTCTAGTACAGCACTGCAAGATTATTTTTGTCTCACAGCACAAACTTAGCTTTTTTTTGAAAAACAGGGAATCTCTCTACTTCTCAACAGTCTTTTAAACTATAATCTTCAGTATACTCTGCAGGAAAATTCATATATGGAGTACCATGAGTTACGTATGTGAAACACCTGAAGAGGCACATGTTCTATCATGCAATTTGTTTTTACCAATGAACAGTAAAAGGCTGAAACCTAGAGACTGCTTTTAGTATTTATGTGTAAGTCAGAGCTTCAACTGTTTCTTATTGGCCTGATTTCACCGATGTTAGTATCTTTTGAGGAAAACTCCTCACATCTATGAGTATGTAGCTTCAGCTCTTCAATGGATCAACTAATAAACTCTGCCCCTTCAAGGCATGTTGAGTACCTTGCTATAGGCTTTAGCATGAATAATCTCTGGTTCATCCTTGAGATGAACATTTTCTACCAGTATTATTTTGGTGACATTTCTACAGAGCTAACTTGACTCCACACACGATGAATACCGTAGCAGCATATGATCACAAAAATGAGGTTTCTCACAGCTTCTCACTTCTCCTTCGGGGAGTTCCTCCAAAAACTCTTTAAAAACAGCTTGTAAAGCAGAAGAAATGGAATACTCATATGGAAAAGACAGACAACAGGAAAGTAATTGTCTAATCTAACACTTTCTTTCACAACCACAAAAAAAAACAAACCACAAAACAATGCTATTTTGGTTTAACTTTGCTTGGACATATTTCCAAAGCAACATCAAGTACTGTTCTGTGTTAAAGGATAATTTAATGTTTGCTCTTAAAAAAGATGAGCACACAGAAACAAAACTTCTAAATCACATTACCTGTACCTAAAGCAGGAGTAGATGAACTATGCCAACCTGCTATCACCAAATCAAACAGCTTCTTCAGCAAATGGTTTTCAGTATCTTAAACTATATTCAAAGTCACATGATTAACCTGCAGTATTTGTTGTGCATTTAATAAATACCCTGAGGTCACTACAAAGATAACATAATCATCTAGAAACGGGAGAAAGCTTGGTAAGAAGTTAATTAGACTTTCCCAGGACTTGTATTTTTTCCTACTCTTAATTTTACCATGCTCATGTTGAAAAATGTGCCACATTTAAACTTTAACTCAGGTGTTACTTCTTCAGTACACAAACTGGAATATGTATATATTGGAAAAACAAAATCTACCTGTCAAATAGCACAACTTCAAGTTCCCAACTAATGTGCTACATTCTGACTTCATTCTTCGAATTACTGCATAGGAAATTACTGAAAAGTGCTATATTAATCAACAGTTCTGAATGCACATACAGTATTTCACATCCTTTGATCAGCTCTCGATTTTAACCATATAGCATATGCGTGTGAGGGCTTATGAAGCAACTAATGAGAAGCTAATCACAAGTTTCTGATTCACAGCCATACAGGCATCAACACAATTTAAAGCTGCAGTAGGAGTATAATAAATTAGTCACAGGCAAATGTGGAAGGGAAATTAAAAGCATCATAGGCAACTGGAAAAAAAGGGGAAAAAAAGAAAACCCAACACATTAAGGGCAAAGCTGAGAAGGGCTGATGAACCAGATGTTCAGGCAGGCTACAACAAAGAACAGCAGGTAGAGAACTAACACAATCTAAACTCCCATATCAGAAGAAATAACCAGAATGGAAATCAGAGGGAACATAATTTCCTAACACCAATTCCTAATGAAACATCCTCTCAGACAGAGAAGATTATTCTAGCTACCAGTCTGTTAGCACAGAATCAATAGCAGACTTACAAATGAAACAAAGGACAGAAACATCTCTGGAAAAAAGAAAACCTACACCTGTATTACCTCCTTTAAATGAAGGAAGCACTTTAGTAAATTTTTTTTCACACTTTTCTATAAAAATTTCAGAAAATTAAACTTTTCATCAGTGTCAGACCAAACACAAACGTGTTTCATTAAAAAATGTACCTTTCCTACACTTAGTTTTTATTGTATAGGAGTAGAAGGCTACTCTTAATGCAACACTATATGGTAATCAAAATAAAAATAAATTAAACTTTATAAGTAACTTCACAAATATGTTGAGGTTATTTCAAGATATTCTGGAAAACACCAACATGACTTTAGGGCCAGGCATTTCTAGAAAGGTCCTAACATCAGTAATTTCAGCCTTGTAAACTGGGTTTACATATTCATCTTTGATCTAACATCTAAAAATCACTGCTTCCGTACCAGATAATGATTAGAGTCTCTAGCAAAAATAAGGTTTAAAAAAACTTCTCCCAAAAAGATAATTCAGCAAAACAGCCCTGTGACTGTCTCTTTTGACACTTGCTGTTCCACAAAAATGCTGGAACCAATTTTATTCACACATATAAATCAAAAGTACAACCTAGACCTATCAGTGGCTTTGCAGGATGGCTAGCTTGTAACATGTCTTTTTTTCTAAATATTTTTGTTCTAAATAAACAGGACTTTTCCTCTGCAGACCTAGCTAATCTCTACAATTGTTCCATTTTTATTGTTAAGAAAAGAACTGCAGAAGTTAAATTATGTCAGACTTTCAGAAGAGAATTAGTGTACTGCTGCAGTCTTCAGCCTCGGATTTCGCTGGAGGCAATGGATTTCAGGATTCTTTTGTAGAGGAAAAGATGGTTAAATATTTGAAACCTGACTTGCTGCCAAAATGTGCCAAAAATGTATCGAGGTAACAAATGTAGATTCCTCAGAAATCATGCAAAGCCAATGTCTGTCGCGTCAGGAGAAGTCAGATGGAATACTGTATCCTTGACTGGTGCATCTGCTTCACACTGAAAGGAAGTATTAGCTTCTACTTCCTCCTTTTGGACTTTGGAATTCAAACAAGCACAGCTCTTCAGAGAGAATAAACCAACCCAACCATGCCTCTCAATGACAGGTGTTGGTGAGAATGAAGAAAAGGAAGTCTTATTTACATTAATAAAGAGTTCAACAGTCAAATACAACAAAACAGTATGGTGGTGAGATATACATTCCATGACAATACTCAGATGAAACAGCAAGTCAGCCAAACATTTACTCTGCTTGAGGTTCCAGTACCTATTTCTAACCCTAATATTCTAAACCAATTTTTCTTCTCAGGTTGAATATCCAGAAAATTTCCTTCACCTTCTTTCATCCAGCCAATATAAAGTATTAGGCATTGAACTAAGAACTACACCTAGGATCAGGTCCTTGAAATCAAGACAGTTCAGTGAAAATGCCAGCTCACTGCTCAGCAGTCAAAAAAAAAATCAAAGATGCTAGGAACTACTAGCAAAGGAATAGAAAAGAGAATACTGAGTATCATTATGCTATTATATAAATCTATCATTAGTTGACATACTGTGTAGTGGAGTCTGGCTCCTTCATCACAAAAAAGATATAACAAGACCTGGGAAAAGATTTACAGAAGATTAGCTAGGACCATCAAAGGTTCTTCCTACACTTTCTGTAGGACTAACAGCTAAGTAAGCTTGAATTCTTTGGCCTGCAAAGGGGAGTAAGAGGCAGGTATATGAAAAAGCTGCACAACCACATGAAGAGCTTGGGAGTTGCTGACTAGACAGCAACTCTGCAGGAACAATCTGGTTCCCTGCTTTCCTGGAGTGTTCCTTTGTTTGGAGGAGGTTATCTTCAAAGACCATGGACTCCTCTGCCCTCCCAGGCAGTCTCTTGCAGGTCCCTGCTGACAATTCCCTTAACAAGCCCAAGATTACTTTCCTGAAGCCCAGAGTCTTTATCCTGCTACCTGCTGCCTTCACCTTCCCTGGGATGTTAATACTTCATTTTCACTGCAGCCAAGGCTGCCATGAGCAGCCAGTTCTACACTCATTTAATGAGTAATAAATCCAGATATGTACCTCCCCTAGCATGCCACCTGCGTCAAAAAAATGACCCCAACACACTCCTGGATACCCATGACACAAAACCACTTCTAAATTCAGGAACTGTGACTAACAGTAATTCTGTGCATCATTAATACATTAGAAAATAACCTCACTGTTAGGGCAGTTTTATCATACAGCACATCAGTGCATAAAATGAATATACAAATATACACAAACTTGTTAGTAGAAAGTATGTCTCATTTACTAGCCATCAGCAAAGGGGTCCTCACCTTTACGGCACTGATGCAAAATAATCAGCTGTTCCAAGAGATTTCCTAGTGCTTTCTCACGTGGCCCTACATACCATGTTGTCAAGACCTCTTTTCTTCTGCGCCAAGACAGGAGCAGATAGGTCATGTCATTAACACTAGGGCCAAGAAGAAGACGACTTCTTCAAAACTATAATGACTTTCTGTGGACAGTTATTGTGTTTACAGCACCTTCAATCCCCAGATGGGGCCATCAGGTTAGCACAACACAGTGTTGACAAAAACAAAGCATGGATACAAACCTTGAAGCAACTGCAAGCATATAAGCTAATTAGTACATTTCATTCTTATGTAAAAGCAAATTACCTGTGGAATTCCTTGTGAGGACATGACGGCTTGATTATAGAAAATACGGCCAAAATGATCTCGATCTGGAAATACTTCTGCTTGCCGAGGTAAATTTGCTCCTCCTGAATCAACTGAAGTGAACGGAAATAAAGTAACATGTCTTTGAACAGTGTTATATGCTAAAGTTGTTGGTAAAGTATCTGCACATTAAACTATACAGTAATTACTATCACTAACACTGTATGTATTTCCATGAATCTCAGTATTTGAGGATATTCTTGAAAAAGAAAAAAAAAATAGTAACACTCCCCTTTGAAAAACATCCATCCCAATCATTCTAATGGGAAATAAACTCGATGTGCTTTGACGTGCAATTGCACCTCCCTGTACAAATCTCTAAATTCATTTTACTGCAAAATGTTTAAAATAAGAAAACCTTAAACATACAATTTCAAGTCAGTTATTCTATTCCAATTCTGTCACAAATTCCAGAAAAGAGCAAGACTGTTCAAGAGGTACAGCATGTGTAGTTTCATACTCTGACTTTACAGACATACTAAAGACCTTATACTACCTTTAGGAAATTTCATTTATTATGTACCCTTGCCTCATGATGTGCCCTCCAGCTTACCGGTTTCCAACTGCAACTACCTCTCCACTCCCAAATAATGAAAACAGATCATGTCATAAGACTCCAAAGGACAGAAGACTAGAAGGAAATGCACATGGAGGCCAAGCATCTCTGAGAACTCTGGTTCCTAGTGGTTAATTTTACCTAAAAGCAGCAGTCCACATGCACATTCTCGTGCTGCATGACTGCAGCCAGTAATGCCCTACATTCAGCTTCATGGTGAAGCAGGTTTTGATTTTTTCCCCTCACCTTTGCAGAACCGCAAAGCAGCATTGGCTCCAGCAACTAGACAAACTCTAATACGGTCAACATGACAATGTTGTGAAATCTCTGAACAGACAAGAACATGCCCACAGCGGTGACTGACTCGGACAAACGGTACCAGGTGTCTACATCTGAAAACTAATACCTAGGGGACTACCACTGAGGGAAAAGGCAGTTAAAATGGCATGAAAATTACATGGCCAGCCAAGTGCTGACTGACAGCAAAGCACTTTCTCTTGATCACACAACTGAAATGAACCGAGACAAGCCCAGGTACAGAAATTACAAAGGTAAATGTCCTGGTTTACTGGGACAGAATTTTAGAGTCAGTTTCCTGTTGACAAAAACTGTGATTTTTTAAGGACTACAACACTCCTATTTCATGTGAATAAAGTGATAAGATTTTGTTATAGGTTTCAGCTAATGTTGGTATGTGATACTCAAGATCTTCAGCAGTCTTGAGATAAAGAGGTGCAGGGGCTGGGGGAATCAGAAACTCAGGGGAGTTGATCCCAGGCTGATCAGTTAATATTATCCCATACCAGAAACATCACAGTCACTGTAAACTGGGGAGTGTGCTGGGGATGGCCCTTCTTCTCCCTCCTCTTCCCTCTTCCATGGTTGACACCTTTAGAGGGACTTGTTTACTGTCCTACCTCTGAGGCCTACTCCCCACAATATTGGCTGAGGATAACTCTGTGTACTTTATATTAATATTGTTATATTAGTTTTTATTATTCTTATTAAATAGATTTCTGTTTCAACCCACAAATCTCCCTTCCTTCTCCTGGCCCCCCTCCCCAGGTGGGGAGGAAGCATCAGGTGATGGAGCAACTGTATAAACCATGACAGTAAAATAATTCAGCAGGTTTGAGTGATGAGCACTACATATACAGGGACTATACATCTCAAAGGTGGAATAAAAAAATTAAACTTTTGAAACTAAGTTTCAAATGGGTATCTATGTCCCACAGTTCCTCATTCCACAAAATCTTAAAACAGCAGAATCACATTTAACTGCTCGTTGATAACTCACTAAAAAAAAAGTAAGAGTTGCCTGACCAGATAGAATTTGCTGGTAATCCAGAATAAAAAAATTATGCAGTTGTTTTGCAAACAGCAAACCTCTTCCTCCTGATTTTTATGATAAAATTTACCCCTTTCCTCTACTGCAGTATGACACTTCCACAACGTCCCCACCCACACTGTCTCATATCCATCCTGTCAATACTTTGAAGTTCACACTTCTAATCCTTCTCTCAGTATTCTTTGCATGTTTGGCCTGCAAGCAATAAATTACAAATGTTTATGCTGGCCAGGATCTACATTTATTTTGACTATTTAACCAGTATATTTAACCACTCTGACTGGCAAATCAGTTAATGCCTCTCACCTGCTATGTAAGCTGCTAAGTAGAACAGCCAAGGACTAATCCACCCTATTTTTTAAATGGAGACAGCAGAAGGGTCTTTCTCCTCTGATGCCAACTTACACAAAATCCACAGGAATACACACTCTCTTAAATGTGTCAAATTTGGCTGAAATTGGCTAATGAATTAAAAAATTATTAGATTGGGAATTGAGACTGAAAGCAAAAAATATTTATATTTGTACAAAACCAGGCTAAGAAAATACTACCTCTAATATACTAAAGACATTTGGCACTCTGATCTTAATATTTAATAAAAGTACACATAAGTAAAACTTATGTTAGGGTTTGGCTAAATGCTGATTTAATAAACTTATCTTAAACGGCAAAATAATATACAGTGAAATTTCTGCTTCAGTAAAATTCATCCCAAATTGTAAAAATCTATTGATCCAAACTATTACTGGCATTTGTAGCACTCAGGCTTTTTTATTTCTTTGGTGTGTTCTCTCATATAGCCACATGCTCCATCAAAAGGCAAAATAAATTTGTTTAACCTGTTATCTGAATTAAGACTGGATGAGTTTTAATAGGATGGATTGCTCAAGCATGACAGAAGGGAAATGAGTTAGAAAGTAGTGATATAGTGGCACAGTTATACCTGTATCTTATGAACCCAGCCCTGCAGAAGTGCAGAAAATAGTGCTGAGAAGCTATGGTAACCTCTGTTTAAGATCTGTCACCAACCTGCAGAGGTACCACAGTACTGATGAAACTGCATTTCAATATGTGAATCTAAAAATACACACCAAATTAAGTCAAATCCAGGGACCCATCAGTCTCAACATTTATTTAAATAAATAGTGTCTAGAGATCGTGAGCTGTCCTTAACAAAAGACATCTGCTATTTCTGCAATGGGACTTACCTAAATACAGGCATGGCAGATGATTCTGCATTGCAATTTCTTGAGCACGTAAATGTTTCTTAACAGTGACAGGATAATAGGTACCACCTTTAACAGTTGCATCATTAGCAACAACCAAGCATTCCACCCTAAAAATAAAACAAGTTTATAAGAGAAAAATGTATCTCTAATGAATAGGTATGTTTGTTGGTTAAGAACTGCAACATGCTAAGGACTCTCGAAGCCCTGATGCTCAAGAGTCCTCCTCACCTGCATTCCTTCAAATGCACATTTTAACAGCAGTCTGTTTCACAGTCCTTTAACTCCCTAAAATAATGCTGTATAGCATCATGTTTAATTTCAACAGTAGTCTTGGAGGTACTTTTAGTAAGCAAAATTCTCAGTCTAGAATACTACCCTGTATTTTGAAAATTGCCACACTGATGCTCTAATCCATTTTCTTCATCGAACACCAGAAACTGTGTGTGTGCTCTGTTTTAATATGGGATGCACTAACTAAAAAAATAAGTAATTACAAAATAACTTCCTTTTAGCTGAGACTGAACTAAGATATCAACTTTGCTGATTTTTTGGGTGTCAGAAATGAAAATCTGAAGATGCTAATAGCTTAATACTGGAAACTAAACAAAATTATACCTTCCTCCCTTTCATATCACCAGTAATGTAGATCACTGGTATCTCTCACCCAGATACTCGTCCAATGCCTGTGATTATGCCTCCTGCCGGTACCTCTTCATTACCATACAACTGGAAACCTGCAAACTGGGAGAACTCCAAGAATGGAGACCTGAATAATGACAAATAGAATGTTATTTTAAAAAGGAATCAGCCATATTTGTAACTGAATCTCACCTAAAAAGGCTAATTTTTTCAAAAGAGGTATTTCAAAGAACACTTCTGTAAAATTTCAGCTGTGTTATTTGCCAATGTTTAAGGAAACTAAAGAGCAAACCAGCCCATTACAGTACTTACCCACAGAAGAGAATCCGAATAGTTTTTAGAAGAAGGAAGTACCTACCCAGGATCAATAAGCCTGTCAATTCTCTCTCTGGGTAACAGCTTTCCTCTCAATGTGTGAAGCTTACGAGCTTTTTCTCCACCTCCTGAGACATAACAGTAAATTGTTAGATTTACTATGGACACAGATAGACAGACCACCACTTTTATTAAAAGTCAGTATGGAAACACTGATGAGTTCTCAGGTTTTGAAGTATGGACCTTAATAATGAATTTAATAAGTAATGGTTTTCACTTCAAACAGATTTAAGGTATTGACAAAAAATGCTTGCTTTTCAGAAACTACTCCATTTTCCTTCTCATTTTTTAGTTAGTCTTGAGGTAAAGACTAACTATACTAAAATACTATTCCCCAAAATTGGTTCAAAATAGCTATGCTGACTCCAATCTTGAGAGATCCAGCACAATCCAGATTCATTTCCTTAGATCACTCTAAAACTGTAAGCAGAGTTCAGACACACAGCATTTAATATCAAGTTTGTCTTTGCTTCATTTCAATCCTTTACTCGAGGTCATCCTAAATCATATCTTCTGCTCTCTAGAGCTTTGTGTCATTCAATACATAAGATTTGTTGACACACCTCAGCCTCTTTGTAATAGCTTATACAAACATTGTCTACGTAGACAGATCACTGATCCACCTCATCACTCTAAAATTGTCTCCCCCATCCAAAATAAAGAAGGTGCTGTTTTGTTAACCATTCTCCTGAGACTTCAAGATTTGTTAGCTAAGGATCACTGAAGTAGAGCTTTTAAGCCTACCTTTCAAGCCCTTTCTTTTATGTCCTTTCTTGATTGCTATGCACATAATTTCCTACCTGTTAGGAATGCCAGAAAGCCTAGAATTTATTTCTGATTCAGCCTGTTCATGAGGTCTCCATATCCAGCCTAAATCTAAATCCTGTAAAGTCTTTCTATACAGGTTTCTTAAGATACAACCTCTTGCATCCACCCACAGAGCTAATACTCTCATCCAAGTTCTCAACATCCCACATCATGTTAACTACAACATCCTGGTATTGCTCCCTGAGACGGAGCAAAGATGACGGTCATACTCTTGACCTGTTATCATGTAATGGGCAAGAACAGGAAAACATGCAGCTGTGAAGAAGACCATGATCACTAGCTCATGAGCCACATAGGGAATTGCTGAACAGTCTCTATACCCATGAAAGACAGAGGTAGTCCATGGGTTTCAGTGTCTCCTCAGGAAATCCTGCAGCTTTGTTTCACAGCAAACAAGAAAAACCACTAAAAACAGAGTCTTAACTGCGCTCCATTCCAAAGCTGTAAAAGAAACTGTGATATGTAAGAAGACAAACAGTATCACAATGGATACAAGAAGGGGAGAATTAAAGCTCCATACTCAATCTCTGGCAGTACAGTTAAGCATTTATAAACCATTTTCATTTCATTGTCCCCATTAATACTAGTCAATTGTAATTAATTCAGGTAGTCTTACAAGCTGAGAAGATGAAACACAGATTTCAATCTTTTAAACTATTACAGACTTGCTACTACAGACCAGCACAAGAAAACCCTTCAGAATATTTGAAAATCCTCTCTGCATGTGAAGAGACTAATATGCAACTCCAACAGAAGCATATTTGCCAAACCAATTTGTTACAAAAGCAGGCAGCAGTGGATGCAGCAAGGAAGCAGAGGAAGTGGAAAGTGTATCAGTAAAAGCCTTTTATTAATAATCCTATCTATTTTTTAAAAATCTGCCATCAGAAACATACACTCAATTGATTACTGAGGTCTTAACTCATTAAAAATTAACCGACTCTAAATATCTAGTTTTCACTATCTACTTGCTCGCTTTCTGTCTCTCTGGCAAAGAAATTAGTCTTATGTTTGACTAATACAGCCTTACTTCCATTTACATCCACTTCCAGTAATTTATGGATTTACTTGTACTACGATATTGCTCTAATACTAACTGGCAAACAAAAAATGTGTTAACACACTAGATATTATGGTAAACAAAGAAATGATAATGGTATGGAGACTGTTCTTCACTAAGAAGTAACTTTAAAAAAACCTCGAAATTTTGAACCAAGTTAGCTTGGACATAAGCCTCTTACAATTGTCAACTGACAGAAAACAGTAAATCTAGATTTAAACAGATGAGCTAAAATTTCAGTATAACTACTACAATCCAGCAAATACAACGTATCTGAATGAACTGACCAATGAATGCACCTCTACAGTGGGAAAATCCAAAGAACAAAACTGGGTTTTGGATCAAATTAGACAAGTGTTCTAAAATCTAGACTATCATACTTACCTAATCTGATTTTTTCTGCTAGCGCTTGGAGTTCGGTTACCAGTGCTTTCATTCGTTCATAGTTTTCCTAAGTGAGGAACAAAACAGAGTTTTAAGTTTAACCAAATGTCACAGTACTATTTTTTAATTAACAAATATAGAAAGTACAAGATTTATTTATCTTCTGATTTCATTTTACCTCATTAAATAATGGCTTTGTATTGTCTTTAAAGCAAAAACATTTTAACCTATGTATTTGCTTTCCTCAAGCATCCCAAAGTATTTAATAAACATGCTCCACAAAAATTCCAAGTGCCTTAGGACTGTTCCAAATTTAATAAACGAAACTAGAATTAGTCACTACAGAGTTAAAATGCTATTTTTCAGGTTGTGTTAATTTTTTGTTATAAGTCTGTTTGCCTTTTTAATCTAATTTTGTAAAAAACATCACAACGATTCAATTAAGTGCTGCTATGTCTCTTGTATGAAAGATGAATGACCTAGATCAAACAGAATTTGGTAAACACTTTTCACATTCCTGTTGTTTAGGTTGAACATAAAGATAAAACATATCTTTTAAAAACCAGTAAGACTGGTCTTCTTGCCAGTATGCCTCTTAAAAGAAACCAAAGGCTCTTAGTTTTGAATACGAGTGATCGAGTACTGAGCTCACCATTTCTATCAGAATTATCCAAAACTCCGTGTGCTCATTACAGCACTTTTTTACCTCTTCTTTGGAATTAACAGGCATTAGTCATGTCTAATTTGTTGAGGTTTCCTTTTTCAGCCTTATTAAGAGACATGTTACCTCTCTGAACAGTATAACTGCAATAAAGAGACATAATAACTGCTGCATTAAAAAAAAAAAGATAATGATAGTGTCTTGTCCAATTCTCCCTTAGAAGAGATTAAGAGTCTACTTTGACAGAAAAAAACCAATCTAGTCACTCTTTGTATTTGGACTTGAACACAGAATTGAGGTTTCCTCTACATGCAACAAGTGTTGCAGTTTAGTTTGTTCAGCTCTTGTCTTAGCCACTAAAAGGCACCATGATGCAAAGCAGGAAGAAAATAAAAAGATGTACACAAGCAGCTAACATCCAAACTGTTTTAGCTGCCATACCAGGACTTTCAAAGAAACACATTTTTCCCCCTTTGTAATTGCTACAAATAGATTTAAGGTACTCTATTGAAAGGTAAAAACAAAAACAGGTCAGCAGTTTTATCAGCTTGCATACACAGTAAATACACAAGGTCAGCATTTAGAGGTTGTCTGGCAAGATCAAGGTGACATACTGAAACACTGAATCCAACTCCTGTGTCTCTGTTGGCTCTCGAGAAGGATTACCCACGTCCCAGTGAAGTGTCATCTGCAAGACGGCTCACAGCCTACATTGGTACAAATTTGTAACCCCAACCACCATCCAACACCTAACGCACTTGAAGATACCAGCCTTAGTTAACAAATCTCTGATGCCTGGTGCCACCCTGTAGCCTGTGACTACCGAGGACAAGGGAGGTCTCCAGACTTCTGCACCTCCTCCCTCCCCTGTAAGGCCGTATCAGTATGTCCACCACAATACGCTTTCAGGCTATTTCTTTTGATATTTTATTTCTCCCTGCCCACCCCCAGCACAGCTCCAGCCCCTCTGTCTACAACAGTGCAACCACTGCAGTGATCTACTGGCAGTTTGACCACTGTCACAGCATCCCAAAAACCAAGAACAAAACAAGCTGCATCTTGTTAATTTAACAATTTAATAACTCGGCTGCTCCTAGGAGAGACCATGGACAGTAACTGCAGCCAAGCAACCACATGCAGAACTGAAGAAAACAGACCTGCTTTTAATACTTTCCAAAATACTCTGTTTACAAGTTAACTTTTTTGCCTGTGAAAAATCTGTAAAGCAGCTATTGTAATTCCATACTTTTAAAAATCTGCAGTTGCCCCCACACCCAATTTTATTGTATGCATAAGTGTTCAGCTTGTCCAGCTGGCTCATTTCACAGCATCACACATAAAGTATATCTGCCATTTCTCCTTGTTCAATCAGCCTGTTTTGTCTAAATACACTCACCTTCAACACACAGTACTGAGCTTAAAAACTCACCTATAACCTAGGAATTAAAAAAAAAGCAGCTAAAAATGGCAGAGGAAATTAAAAGGGGCACAGCAATCACAAACATAGGCTTATTAGCCTCTGAATTAGCTGCTTTAGCTACTCTACATGAAAAGCTGTGACAAGACTTTTTAGATCATCTACGAAAAAATACCGTACTCAAACATTTAAGGTGCTTATATTCACTTTATTTCTACCCTTATCTTTCATGCCATTAACCTGAACACATCATCATCGTATTTTACAAAGGAAAAGTAAAAATGCCTTGAAACCTTACTGTAGGTTCTGAATACACACAGAAAAGGCTCCTCTCAGAACCAAACAAGCTAGTTCTACCATATATTTGTGAGCTCTTCATTAACTAATGACAAGGCCAGTGAAGTGACGCAAATTCTTTCTGCAAACAAGCTCCTGTAACATTCTGCTGTTGATATGAGGGCTTCTGTAAACTTTAAAGTAGAATCAAAAGGCAAAACCTACAGCCTAATCCTACAATTACTGGATGATCTAACTGAATTACTGCTACACAAGCAAAGCTGCAAGAGCTAATCCTTGGAATCTTTACGTAGATTTTCCTTTATTTTCCAGAATTTAGGCATACTCGTTTTTTAATTACATTTTTACCTGTCTGGTTTGAAAGACAGTTTACATTGTGAAGGCCAGCCTGTCTAGCTGAATTCACAGCCAGAAAGGCAAACATTAGCTGAAGAAGGCAAGACCTCTATCATGTATCAATATGTTGTCTTGTGTTTGCACTGCTAATTCCTGTATTACTTTTATTTCAGATGGTTAAGTGCCTCACAGCAGGCATCTCAGCTCTTCGTATCTGTAAAGCACCACATGCATTTACAGTGGTCTATAAATTATTTGTACCAAATACTAACACTATTAGCTATTCTACTGCTTGAATGACATGCCAGAGGTATCCAAATAAGAGGGCATGTCTAGCAGAGCTACACAAACTTTTCCTGTCTTGACATCCCATTGGAAAACGCTGCCAAAATACAGTAATATTTTTAAAAAAGGTAAACAATGTGTTCCACAGAAGTTACCAAGCCTTGCGTGTTTTTTTTTTGAGATCAAAAGGTCAACACACACAAATGCAAATCCAGCGACAGCTTAGCTGAGTAAATACATTAATTAAAATGTTACCTTTTTTGGTATGCAAAATATACACACACTTCATATACACAAGCTTTATATGTGTGTATATATACACATACATACTGAAATTTCACAGAATTTCAGTCACAGAATCAGTCACCTAACTTCTGTCCTAAAATTCAGTTTCTGCAAAACCAAATACAGAACTAAAGGAACTATTTCAGTAAGCATACACATTGTTGCTTCACTTGCTGTTCAGTATTTTACTTGAAACAAATTTGAACACAAATGTATGCTCTCCTACCAGTTCGATCCACACTCAAAACTATGTTTTTCTCAGCCTAAGTGTGATTTTTATCTTCAATATGATTATGTTAATAATACCCCATTAAAAATAAAACTATTTAAATCAGATACAAGTACTGTTCTCTCTGCAAAAACAACTGAATTCCACCCACCCTTCCTCTTTCTCCTTCTCAAAAAGTTATTTGTTCTGGCAGTATCATGTTTTCTGGAGACATGCCAACAAGTTGCAAAACTATACCACCTGCCTGCAACTCTGGAATCAACTTGCAAACACAAGAAAACTTCTGACTTTGAAACCATCAGACACTACCTTCAACCGCTTACAAACTCACTATCTCCACTTAGTTGGTACGGTATCAACCAGCTCTTCAACACTGAAAATGCTGTAAGAGCTGGTAGTCTGATTAAAATAGTGTAAAAAAAATTCATGAGGCAGATGATGGTACAAACCCACGTTCTTTTATACAGTACCTTTACACAGCTTTAATGACATAAACAGAACTTCGCATTTAGGAAATACGAAGGTGGGAACAGCACTGTAATCCCTGGCCTGTGCTGCAGTGTGACCTCGGGCCCATTCACAGAAGCGCGCTTACCACGTACCAGCGCGTTA